AGGAGGACGGAGGAGGGAGGGGAGGGGAGGGACGTAAGAAGGAAGCACAAGGCAGTGTCCTGAGGGCTCTTGGTAACTGACTCAGTTATACACCAGCCTTTCGTTTATAGAGAGATCGTTTATTTTCTCTTATCACAAACTCCTAAGTTACTTGCTGGCTTTTTAGTGCACACTGTACATTCTAGATAAACAGAATAAAGTTGTCCCTAAGTTCTATCATCATGAATGCAGGAAGGGTAAGTTGGAAGTGGAGTGTTAAAGCCGAAATCGTCCTCAGAGAATCTCCTCCCGCAAATTCCTCCCGGGGTTGGATGTCGGCTCAGCCTCGGGCCAGGCAGATGTGTCTCCACGCCCCCCTGTGGGTCAGCACACACGTGTGCACCGCCAGTGCACACAGGAGAACACGCTTGTCGATTAAAGGCTCTCACGGGGCCGCCAGAGAAACCCGTGAGCCGCCCTGCGGCCCTGGCGAGGTGCTGGGGGATCCCCTCCGTCTGGGTGGTCCCGAAGGCCAGGGCGGCCGGTGTCTTTGTGTTTCCCAACACGCTTCCGCCCTGCGACCGTGAGTCGTTCTCACGCACTCGAGTTCTGCGTCTCTGGCCACGGCGCCCTGCGCTCTGTGAGCCGCCCTCCTCTCTGTCTCTTGGGCAGACCATGCAGTTCCAGGGAAAGCTGAAGTTCCTGTTCGGACAGAAGAAGAAGGCGCCGTCGGGAACAGCCCTGCCCCCCCGACTCTCTCTGTTCTGCGTGGCGGTGCCCGTGCTCCTGCCGCCCGCGGCGGAGACGAAGATGAAGAGCTTGTGTCTGAGGGCAAAGCACAGGGCAGACGCCGGGGATGCAAAGTGAGTGACACGCCCTCGTGGGCCCCGACAGACAGGCACACCCCGGGCTGGCGTGTGTCCTGGTCTCCCGTCCGCATCCCCAGCAGGTCACGGACAGCACGTTTGGTGTTTATGGTGAGCGCGCCACGCAGGCAGCAACCGCTAGAGAAAAAGTTTAAAATCTGTGTTTGCAAACGGCGGCACCAGACGCTGCCTGTGTCAGGTGGTTCCTGAACTGTCCCTGTGTCCCCGTGGGGTGGGCTCAGTGCCACAGCCCCCGCCCTTTCTCACCTCCCGACATGGGGCGGACGGCCCTCGGGGCACAGCTGCCCTCCTGCCGGGTCCTGGTCCCTGTGCCACCGATCAGAAGGACTCAGCGTCCTGGGTATCCTAGGATGGATGAGGTCTGAGTTGTGTCTGTCAGTTTCTCGGCAGCGATTTAAAATGTGTGTGTAGAAACTGTGTTTTCCAACAGGTCGAAAGACTCCTTGTGAGAGAGACCTGGGGGTGGGGGTGGGCGGAGGACTGGGATCTGACTTCCATCTGCCCCCACGGGCTGTGCGGGACCCCTCCCCCGTGCCCCTTACGGGGCAAGACCCCCGAGTCCCCAACACACATCTTTGCCTTTTTTTTTGAGACAGAGTCTCGCTCTGTTGCCCTGGCTAGAGTGCCGTGACGTCAGCCTAGCTCACGGCAACCTCAAACTCCTGGGCTGAAGCGATCCTCCTGCCTCAGCCTCCCGAGTGGCTGGGACTACAGGCGTGAGCCACCGCACCCGGCTAATTTTTTCTCTATATTTTTAATTGTCCAGCTAATTTCTTTCTATTTTTAGTAGAGACGGGGTCTCGCTCAGGCTGGTCTCGAACTCCCGACCTCGAGCCATCCACCCACCTCGGCCTCCCAGAGTGCTGGGATTACAGGCATGAGCCACCGCGCCCGGCCACATCTTTGTCTCTTGACTGTTTGTCTCTCTCAGTCGAGCCACAGCCAGGGGGGGCTTCCGCACTGGACTCAGCCCTGGTCACAGGCCACAGGGCGCACCGGCTGGGACTGACACGGCTTGGAACAGAGCACCCAGGTGCAGGGCAGGTTCTGCAGGTGATTTCGCATCAAACTGGAGCAGCTTTCTGGCTGGGCCAGCAGAGGAGCCGCCCTGGGGAGGGCCGCAGGCGGCAGGGCCGGCCTTTTCTCCGCACTCTGCTTCCCCCAGCTGGCCAAGGTGTCGCTACACCTGATACCTCCTCCTGCCCAAGGCTGTGCCCCAGGGGAGCTGGCCTGGGGGTCTGAGCGCCCGCGGAAGGGCCGTCTGCCTGGGGCCTGCGCCCTCAGGGCCCCGATGGTGGAGGCGGAGCCCCGCCTCGCTCTGGGGCTCCCTCCGTTCCGGCCCCTCTGTGCTGCACCCAGACCCAGTGCCTGCGTGCGGCTCCGTCTCGGCCCTGTGGTCACTCCTGAGGAGTCCGCTTGTCTGGCCCGAGTCTCTGTTAGTGGTTTTCCCACTTCACAGGACGATGGCTGCAAGATGCCTTAGGCAACCGCCTCCAGATGACTGTCCTTGGCACGGGCACAGTGCCTGGGACGCTCTCTGGCGGAGCAGTGGGGCTGGCAAGGCCCTCCCTGTCCCTTGTTCCGAGGCTCCACCTGCGCTGGCGCCTGCCGTGGCACTCATGTGCCGTCTCTGCGTCACAGGTGCTACCCAGACACGTCTGGTCTGTGCCATGCTTGTGGGTTGGCGCTTTATTCTACTCCCTAACTTCCATTAGTACCGAGTTCCGTCCTTTCAGACTCAGCCCTGGGGGACCGGGTCAGAGCCCAGCCACGACTGTCCCTCTCTGCGGTCTGGCCAGCGTGCCCGCTGGGTCCAGGTCCGAGTCCTCGCAGTGGTGGGGGCAGCACAGGCAGCAGGACCCGCCACTCAGCCCACCTTGCCTGTCGGGCCCCAGAGGTGCAGGCAGGCCCCTGTCCCACTCCTGCCAGTGTGCAGTGGGCACCCCGGCCTCTCTCCGGGGCTGGCGAGGGCTGGCCCAGAGCGAAGACGTGCCCAGGAGGCCCCTCTGCAGGCCCCGGCCGCCTTCCCAGCACTCGCGGCTCTGCCTGCTGCGGGCGGAGCTTCCGTCCCTTTTGAGCACCTGTGACGCTGCGTTTAGACCGTTAGGAGCTCTGCCAGCAGCAGCGGCTACGTGGAGGCTTTCGTTCTGTGCGTTGGTTCCCTGCGTGGTTCTTCTCGTCTCTGCCCCTTGTTCCCGGCCTGCAACCTGGGCGCGGGGAGCTGCACGCACTGCTGGGCTCCTGGCTCTCCTGCTCGAGGGTCGGTGGAGGTCGGCCGCGGAGCTGGGACCGGTGTTCTGGGACCCACACGTGCTACCAACAGCAGCACACATTTAAAATTTAGTTTATGTACCTTTTATTTTAAAGGACGAACATATAACATACAAGGGAGGAAAAACAATACAAAGGGAAAGGTGTGAAAATAAGAGACGTGGCAAGCCCAGCGGTCACTGCCAGGCTCAGGGCAGTGTGGGCCCGGCCACCGCACGCGCAGAAATACACTCTACCGCCACTCACTGCCTCAGCGTTGTCTGGCTTTTTAAAGCTTTTTTGGCTTGAATTTTTTATAACCCAAATGCACACAGTGAGCTTTCTCTTTTCTGCGTGTTTTTCCGGCCCCCAAAGCACAATAAAGGGACAATCAATCCTATGGCTGCGGCCGTCTTCCCAGCTGGGCTTGGACAGTGGCCACGCCGCCCCCTGGCGCCGGTGCGGGGAAATGCAGGCCTGGCCGCACCGCGGCTGCCTCCTGCAGGTGCCGGGTAGGGACCAGGTGTGGGGTGGGTCACCGGCCATTCCTCCTGCGGCTGGGAGGCCACACCTGGAGGCTCTGTGAGGCCTAGAGAAGTAAGGTGTGTAAGGTGGAGCAATAAATAGACACCACAGTACACAGAATGCTATTAAAACTCAGAAGGGGGAAGAAAACTGGTCAGGCCGAGGGTCCCGACTCCCCGCCCCACAGAGTTTTGGAATTCTCACCGCGCCGCTCTGAAAGGAGTTCGGAGGCGGCTGTCAGGACGTGCGTCCTGAGCGCCAAGGCCAGGCGAGGTGCTGCGGCAGAGCCAGGGCGCTTGCTGGCGGGTCCTCCCTGCACCACCACTGACAACCGGGCTTCGTGGTCTGCCCCGACCCCTCTGTGGAGGCTCCCGCTTCAGGAAACTTACTCGTGAGCCCCAGATCGGTGCGTGCTGTCCTCACGCCCACTCGTGGACGCGTCCCAGGCGGTGACGGCGGACATCCTCCCGCTGTGGCCGTCTATGTGCCGATGCCCGGGACCAGGTGGGCCCAGCCGGCTGGCAGGACTCGAACCCCAGCTCTGGCACCCGCTGTCAGGCAGCACCAGGCGAGTCCCTTAACATTTGTCTTTTGGAAACTAAAGACGATAGAACCCAGCGGGGCGAGTTGTTAGGATTTGGGGTCGCGCACACCCGTCCCCCGGAGCAGCGGCCCTGTGCTGGCTGATCCAGTGATCGTGGCGACTTCCCAGAACACAACCACCTCGAATCACAGCCACCGGCTGTGCTTTCATTCTGGCCTCCCAGGAGGGAAACGCAGCTCTAAAATCGTACTCTGTGGACACTTTCCGAAGCCGATTCATCAGCCCTGTTGGCCTGAGCGCTGACACAATCGGTATTTTCAGCAAATCCGTCACTGAGAAAAGATTTCACAAGCTGTAAAGAATTAAGCAAATGAGAGTCATTGTTTCTGTCTTCACCTCTCAGGCCTGACAGTGATGCCCGTCACTGGTAATTTCTGCCGTCGACACCTATGTCACCTGCGTGTTCTTTGCTGTCACCTGTTTTCACAGAGTAAAAGCCGCCGCGAGCCTGTGTGAACCAGAACCGCACGGAAAACCCGACTGCTTCGCAGGTACTTCTTACAGTTCTCTATCTCGGCCTTTCCAGATGGGTGGGATGTGGTTTTGCCCTTCAGAGAGCTCTGCCTGCCCCGCGGAAACCCTGCGTGTTCCACGGAAACCCACGTTGGAGACTTCGCGTCCGCCCTGCAGGGACAGACGCCCGTGCCTGGGCTCCGCGCGACTCTGGGGAGCTTGAGTCAGCCCTGCCCGGAGCAGCACGGCCATCGTCCAGCAGCCACTCGGCCACAGCTCCCTAAATCCCACAGGGAGAAGCCGCGGAGAAAGCAGCGTGTTGGTGTTCAGGACGCAGACGGAGGCTGGCCGCTGGGCCCGCGTTCCCGCCGGCACCCCCTGCCTGTGCCTCGGGGGAGGCCCCGACCTCGTCCTGCACCCCAGGGGGCCCGGAGGGTAAGTGGTGCCGGCTGCCTCCCTGCCCCGACCCCTGCTAGGTCCTTGCACAGCCAAAGCAGGGGCTTCCGGAACAAAGAGGCGACTGAAGGTGGCCTCCACACTGCCCCAGCCTGACCACTCACCGCGCTCTGCAGACGTCCCAGCAGCTCCCAGGCTGGAGGTCACACGTGTGCCCGAGAGGTCGCAGCAGGGAGGAGGCCCAGGGAGGGACTGGGGTGGAGGATGCCCTGTGGGCTCTGCCAAGATGCCAGGACCCTGGGACTCGCCCTCACCTGTCACCTGGACCCTGGGTCACTTGTCCCCATCCTGCCCTCACCTCTGCCGCAACCCTCCCCACCCCCACCCCTGCCCACCCCAGCTGAGAGCCTCACCTCTGCTGTAACCTTCCCTACTCTCCCCCTCCTCTGGGCCCTCCTGCCCACCCCAGTGGAGCCTGCAGGCTCCTGTGCTTTCTAGTCCATTCGTCCTCCTGATGCCAGTGGCAGTCCTGATGCCACATGGCGCTGTGCTGGTCTGGCCACGGGAACCGCTGGAGATGGTGTCCTCTGCTTGACGGCTCAGCGGGGCTGTGTGCGCTCCGCCAGCACTGGCAGTGACCCGTGTGGCGGATGCTGCGCCTGTGGCACAGGCCTCACAGAGACACCTCCCTGCAAGGAGGGTGGGCAGCGCGCCACTGCCTCCCCTACCCACACCTCCCCCGCCCTGCCTGGCCCCCCGGAGCCCCAGGAGTAAGGGGCGCACATGGAGATGCTGGCACTGGCCTCCCAGGGCCACCGGGGGGTTCAGAGGGCCAGGGGGGCCTGGGCCCTGGCCCGTAGCAGCCTTGCAAACCCAGCCAGTATCCTGCTGGCCTCACCCAAGAGGTGGGACCCAGCGTCCACCACTGCTATCTAAGAGATACCTTTTCTCTGCAGGGACAGGGAAGAGCGGGAGCAGGAGAGACCGTGCAGCTCCTCTGGAGCGAGGAGGCCGCGGGAGACACGCGCCCACCATGGCCACTGTGAGCTGCTGGGACCCACGAGGTGCCTGGACTGGGCAGCGGGAAAGCACGCTGAAGGTGGGGGTGTGATGTCAAGGCTGCAGACCAGCAAAAGCGACCTGTTCTCCGTGCACCCCGTGCCCCGCGGCTCCTGCCCGCCTTACCCTGGTGCGCGGGGCACGGTCAGTGCTGGAGGCATGGCCACTTTCAGAAGTGCACCCGTCCCCCAGTCGCCGGGCCAGCCCCTCGGTGCTTGCTCCAGCCGGGTGACCAGGCTCCTGCGGGACGTCCACGGGGGCCAGGAGCACTCTCTCACTGCCCTCTATCCCCCGGGGAGCCTGGAGAACCTGCCCCCTCAGCCTGGGGTGCAGCGCTTTCCCACGGGGGGCTACCCCACCGAGGCCCCGAGGCTGCAGAGTGGGCAGTTGCCCCCGGGCGGCCCGTGCGGTCCCGCGTTGCCGCTGGGCGTGCCCATCAAGATGGAGAAGGACTCGGGGTCGGAGGACGCAGCAGATGGCTACACACCCAGCCAGGCATGGCTGGGGGCCGGTGACGTGGCCAAACGTCATCTGGCCACTTTGCCTACGAGGATGCACCTGAAAACAGAGCCAGAGTCCAGGTACCAGGTGTACACACCACACCTGGGACACTGCAGGGCCCCTGCCAGGCCCAGCGGGGAGCTGGTCCCCTTCCACCCGGCACACTGTGCCTGCCTGGAGCACACGCACCCCCTGCCCCAGCAGGGCCCTCCCCGCCCCCTCTGTGCGCACCGGCCCCCGGCTCCGGGCTGCTCCTGCGGAGCTGCTGGGGCAGCCCCTGTGGTCAAGCGCGAGCCCCTGGACTCGCCCCAGTGGGCCACCCACAGCCAGGGGGCGGTGCCCGGGATGTTCCCCAAAAGTGCCTTGGTGCCCCCAGTCCCGCCCAGAGCCCCCGAGCGCACTTTCCTGCCGTAGCACCGCAGCTTTGCTGAAACTAGCCACCGTCCTCTCTCAGAGCCGCTCTCTGCCGGGCTGCCGCGGCACCTGGGTGGGAGTGCCCCATCCGAGCCCTTCTTGTTTTATTTTATTTTATACTGTTTCAGTGAGACAAGGTCTCACTTTGCTGCCCAGGCATGAGGGCAGTGGCGTGATCATAGCTCACCGAAACCTCAACCTCCTGGGTTCCAGTGATCCTCCTGCCTCAGCCTTCCGAGTAGCTGGGACTGCAGGTGTGCGCCACCATGCCCGGCTAGTTGGAGCCTTTTTAAAGGAACACTCTTTGCGGAGCTGCATGAGCGCAGTCCTTATTCTATGTCCTATACATGTAATAGTGTATTCTGAATTTTATAAACTATGTGGAAGTTCTTACGTGCAAACTAGCCTTACATTATTCAAGCACGACAGTATTTCTCTCTCTGAGGAAACAAAATCTTTAAGAAAGGGCCAATGGTGGGATGCGTCAGCATGGCTGGGCCCCGTGAGCACCTGGCTGCTGCCACCTGTCCACAGTCAGGAGAGGTTTCCAGTGAGGTTCCCGCTCAGCCCTCGGGAGCCCACCCCAGCCCCAGCCTGTGCTGTGCAGCCGGGGTCCCCAGCTGGGTGGACAGCAACGCGGAGGGCTGTGGCAGGAACACATACTGCGACTCTCTGAGCAGAGGTGACCGTGGGCCCCTCCATGGAAGGAACCCAGAAGTCCCAGGCAGAAGAGACTGTCAGGGCTGGGTCCTGCACTTGACCACACACGGGGCAGGGGCTCCGCAGAGCAGGGCCGGAGTCTGCAGCCAGACCTGGAACGGAAATTGGCAGGCTAATGTCCTGCTCCTTCTGGAACTCTCTCTGGTGTCCTTGGTGGGCCCATGAAGACAGCTCCAGCGAGACCATTTCCTGCACATCACGTAACATGAAGTTCATGCAGTCTCAGTTCGGAGGCGTAGAGGAATGCAGAATGTAGAGGAAGGGAGTAGGAGATCGAGTTGTCTGTGGAGGCTGTCTTACTTGCTGTCTCTACAGTTTACTCAAATGAGGATTCCAGTCACTATACCAGGAAGAATTATTAGAGACAAGACAGGTAGCATTTTTTAAAAAAAAATTGTAATGGCGATACATTCTGATTGTAGGAAATTTGGTTACAAAGGCATACATCAGAAAACGAAGGTCACCACAGTCCATCCAAAGATAACGTAGAGCTGATTGTATCGGTCAGGCTTCTTCCAGGGTGTGGCTCGGGCGAGAGGGCGCCCCCTGATTAGTGCACAGCAGCCCAGGGCATAACAGCAGGGTATAAAACCACCCCTGAGCAGGAGGAAGCCACAGCTCCACGCACTCTGGGATCCCGCTGCAGCTGGCCTCCCTCTGCTGGGGTGGACAGACCCTCCTCCTCAGGTACAAGGGCATCTTCCCCTAAAGTCACCTCCACCTCTGGGTGTCTCAGAAGTGGTAGGAGCCCACTGGGTGAGGCAGTCACCGCTCTACCACCCAGCACATTCTGCCTTCAGCGTGGACTTTTTGTCTCTGTTGCCTACGGCTTTGGGGTGCCAGTGTTCAGCCCCTGGTTCAATGCTGAAGCCATTTGCTAAATGCACATCTGCTATGTCAAAATTCAGGTTCAGCTGGCAGGACTGTGCACTTACACACCCGGGGGTGCCCGTGCCCCTCAGCTGCCTTGTTCTTGGGACAAGTCACCCATGGGGCAAGGATGTGGCGGAGGATCTCCCAGAACTGAAGAGAAGGGACAATGACCTGAGCCCAGGGTCTGGAGTGGTCATCTGTGGCCTCTTGTGACCCCCAAGGTCCACCCAGTGGTTGTTCCATCCCTGCCGAGCCCACGGCGGCCCTTCAAAGGTGACCTTGGTGCTGTGCTGTCATGGGCATGAGAGCTGCTGAAGGCTTCCACTTCCACTGCCATTCTGTCCTCTACCTGATGCCTAAAGTCATGATGGCAGCAGAGTCACCCGAGGGCCAGCCTCGTGGGGACCAGCCACCTGCAGACCAGCCTTGTGGGGACCAGCCACCTGCAGAACAGCCTCATGGGGACCATCCACCTGCGGACCAGCCTCGTGGGGACCAGCCACCTGCTGCCCACTCCCGCCAAAGCTGGTGCAGAGTCCCGCCTTTACCAGTTCCCATGCTGACCGTGGCGTACCTTTGCTCTCTGGGCATTTATGGATTTCGCCCTTAAGACACAGGGTCTAATTTCAGACTCTTCCCCCTTCCTTCCTGTTCTAACCAAGTGCCCAGCTCCTGACCACGGAAGGTCCTCTTTAATAATCAGACCCACAGCATCCTTCAGGAAGAACCGAGAAACACGCGCCACAATTGGTGTTCCCGCGTCCTGGAGCTCGGCCCTCAGCCACTCCCTCAGCTGAAGCGTCACCTGCGTCCCTGAGAGCAGCCCCGGCTGTTCCTGTCTCAGCCATAGACAGGCACGCGTGTAACATGCCTCGAGTGTCCTGGAACCAGTGGGTGTAACTGGAAAAAACACCAGACCCAGGAGATGGCATCCAGAGACGTCCTTGCGTATCTGCCAACCGTACTCGGACCCCTTGGATGCCATCAGGGGAGAGCTGGGGCCCTGGGAAGCAGGGTCAGTGGCCTCTGCCCCAAGGCCACTCCACAGCGTCCTGCCTTTCACCCCCAGACCCTCAGATGTGCCCCATCCCACCCACCTGGGGTGACAGGCGCCACACTGAGCGTTGGGCTGCCGTCCGACAGGCTGTGCTTTGTGGAGGCTGAGCGCGGTGTCTGGCATCAGCTCTGCAGGTCTGGCGCGCTGGGCAGTCCCCAGCACGCTGCGGCCCTCGAGCTCCTGGGCCAGCACCGTGTCCCAGTCCCTTCCTTGGCAACAAAAATCCCCGAATCAGCACTTTTGTTATTTTATGACGGTGACCCTCCTGAAAAATTGCGTGGGGTAGATGATGATGGAATGTAGAAGGTGCAGATGTAGTAATTTGTGCTCTAAAATGTCATTATTAGTACTAATTACAGGTTTGTGTTTTTCTTTTGCATGTAGCTTTTGCCTGTATAGCTGAAAAAGTGTTAAAATAAAATACAATGTGGGAATGGGATGGAAGGGAGGAGATAAACACAAATTATATTTTTGCAGTTTCTACTATAGAAAAAAGTTTTCAATATCTAGACCAACTTGTTGAATTTTTAAAACTGATGCACTATAAATGTAACTCCACTGGTTTCTCAGTGCCCTTCCAAAGAGCTCTCAAATGTTTCTTATACTGTTGTTTGTATGAAATTTGCAATATCGATGTAAGATACATCACATACTAGTATGTGTTTAGTATAAATGGAAATGCCTGCTTGATTTTCCAAATGAAGTCACTTTATTTCCTTTAAAAGCATATCTTAATTTGCATTCTAAGGTAGTCCTCCACCACTAAACAGAAGGCAGTAACAGAAGTTTAAACAACTCTCTAAAGCCAAAAGTTTGATGGAGGAGGAAACTGCCTGGCCACGTCCTTGCTGTGGGCCCTCTCACGGAGGGTTGGGGACCTGCCTGGGTGCTCTCAGGACACCCCAGACCCAACCTGTCCTGGGAGGGGCGAGGAGGGCAGAGCTGAGTGCATCTCGAGTGGACGACGGGCGCATGGGGATGGGGCAGGGGTCATCGCCCGGGCAGAGTCCCCTCCTGTGGCCCAGGGAGCCCGAATCTGCCCTGTGGCTATGAGGGCAGCCCTGGCCAGGCCTCCTCCACGACCTGTAGGACACTGTCCCCAAACCTGTCCCAGTGACGTCCTGGTTGCTGTCCTGAGACTCCCATGTCCTCCCAGGGGAGACCAGGCCAGCCCCCATCTGCTGGGCTAACCAAGCTGCTCATGCCTCTGAGGCCCCGCCTTGGCCCATCCCATCCCCTCTCCCCTACCCCTCAC